AACAGAATTAGCCTTTTTTTCCCCTAAACTGCAGAGCTAAGTAACGAAATGTGACAGACTGAGAGAAGCAGTTTATTAAGACACCAACTCCAAGTTTATTTAGTTCATAAACTCTCTCCTAGAAAATCAATACAGTCTGTACAGGGTTATTAGGCTGACTAGCTAATACATCCAAATCTGGTCTTCCCAAGCAGAAATCTTGGCCAGAATGCTACAACCTTACAAGAAATCTAAGCTCACTCAGATCACTGTATCAAAGGAGGACTATCATTTAATTATCAAATGTGTGACTTCTACATCTCAGCTTCAGAATGTTTTCAGAAAGATATATTTCCCCCCCACCCCACTAACATGACAGAGAAGAAACAAAATTTAGTCTGTCAGTCCCAGTCCAGCTCAGGTCATCCTTAAATTTACAGTGTCTCTACTGCATCTTGCTTGGCAAAATAATGACAGCACAGAAAAACCAAAACAAGAAATACTGAATTTCAAACAGGGATATGAAAAGTAGCAGTCAATAAGGACATAAAAGTAACCAAGAAGGAAAAATGCAACAGAAGCCAACCTCCTCAAGTAGCAGTTTAAGCCTCATCTAACTGTACAGGAATGAGTTCGGGGATTGGGGAGGAAAAGGGGGGAAGGAGGGAGGGTAGAAAGAAAAGGAAAAAAAAAAAAAAAACCCACAACTTTAGTATACAAGTCTGGCACAAACTGAGCATTTTCTCTCCTCTTTGGCTAGCTCATATGAGAATCTGAAACACTATAGTCAAGGTAAGGGCTCTAAAAGTATTTGAAAAAAATCCTTTTAAAAGCATTTAAAAATATCTAATTTTCAATAGATTTTTAATCAGGAATATGTTCTGCAAGTATTTTACTGCTATCCAATGGCATTTGTGCTGACAGATAAAAGGATCTATGAAATTATTTTACATTTTCACCTCCTGGGAATATCCAGATGCTGAACAGAAGAGGTGCCTACAGAATCCAGGTTCTAATGGAACTTAAAACAGAGTGCAGTTGCAGTTGTCTGCTTGTGTTTTTTAAAATTTTACATGCTTTGTGAACTGCATGTCGTGTTAGGGTATTTTCTTCTTTTTGTTTTAAATAATAGTACTTACTTTCAAAGACAATTACATTATCTGCATGACTTTCTGAATCTTTTAAAAATATAATTTGTTGATTTCATCTCTCCTCTGAAAACTACTGATACAGAAATGCACCATATGGCAAGAAAGGATAGGAAAGGTGATTACAGAAAATCCAGGTGCCAAGAAGAAAATCTAGCCAGCAGAATATGCTATATAATGTACTTCTTTCTAAATTCCATTACTCTGACAGTTTAAGTGTTAATTATTTCAGTTAAAGGGTTAATGCAAATAGTTCAAAATGACTAAACATTGACAAAATATTTTCTTCTTTTTGTTCCAATTATTCTGTATTATTAATTAAGCTGTTAAAACATGCAACAGTTACTATCTCCTTAATGTTCAATAATATGTAAACTCTTTAAAGAGATTTTTGTTCCACGTCTCTGCTTTAGATATTAATCAAGAAAATAATTACAGAGGAATTTAGTAAAAAAAATCTACATGCATATAACTATGTACTGTACATGTACGTTCAACGAGGTCCAATTAGTTGGAAAGAATTTGCATTTCAGTTAGTATGAGCTAACAAGACTGTAGGGAGACAATGTGATTCTACTCGCAGGGCAAGAAAGAATGGTGTTTTTCTGTAAGCATTAATTCCCATAACTGATAATTTTAAAATGTTACTGATCTTTACAGTATTTGTTTTTCAAACATCTAGGAGTTCAGTATAAATGTTTATATTAACTGTACATGAAGCAGTGTCCCCAAGACGACTCCTGGGGAAAAAAAAAAGATAAAACAGTGAGCATAGATTTATTATTTTCTTCATTTAGTATTTGCAATTCTATTTAAAGATAAAGAGCAATCAATTATTCTAAAGGAGAGGTCCTTATATTTGATATTCATTCACCAGAGTCATTAAAATCACTGGGAGAAGATTCAGAAAACTATGTCATTTTATACAAATGTACCGATCTTCAATATTAATGATAGATACACACACCATACACAGTTACTGAACTTCTCCCCTAAGTCTCTCTACCCTTAACCAGTTTACTGAGTAGTACCTGTAACTCCCAGAGTTCATTTGGCTGCAGATATTAACAGTTTCTCTAATTTGCAATGACAGCAAACTGGCCTTTGCTCTTCCCACATTCACTATTCATTTCTAGGCTTGGTTAAGTAGATAGCTGGGTTAAAGATCAGTGGTTTTTCATGTGACACATTCTGCTATTCATCTAACAGCTCGTCAGGACAAAACTGTCCCTGTTCTTGCCAAAATAATGAAAATGGTCCTCTACATCGCATGACAATCACCCCTTGCTTGTGCTGAAACAACTAAGCTTATATAGTTGAGTTGTTTTAAAGACATTTTGGAGCTGACTATTCCACACTGCCTCTAAAAAAGT